AAGCATTTTGTAGGATTGTTCTTGGTGTAATACGCAAATCGACGTTTTGGCCGTCGCTTCCCATATGTCCACCCAGTCCTCACCCTCTAGGGCCCCCCCTAGGTCCTCTTCCCACTGGTGTATATATCTTGGGTATGTGGCTCCCTTTTCTGGGGCACTCAGCTGCGCATATATGGTCGTGATCAACCCCTTTTGAGTAGTTTCTGCGTTACACATTTGTTCGTAGAATGTCATTGGGGTCTGTGCTGCTTTTTAGATTTTGGGGTTTTTGGCAAAGTCTCGCAGCTGTACATATCGGAATACGTCTTTTGTTGTCAGGGGCGCCATGGTTTTTAGGGTGTCAAAGGTTTTGAAAGAGTCGCCGTCATACCTGTGCCCGTATCTTTGCATTCCCGTGTATTCTATCCCCCTAAAGTCGCGTGCGCTCAGCCCGGGTTCAAATGCTTTATTCCGTAGGTACGGTGTCAGCGGCGAGGGTGTATGTTTTAGTGCGTATTTGGTGGCTGTCAAGTCCCAGATACTTATGGAGTTAAGGATCGCCGGACAAGAGGTGCGTAAGGATGGTCTGTCTTGTTTGGGTACCCATATCCAGAATTGTGGAAGGTCCGTACACATAAGTTTTGTCTCCAGGTCCACCCACCTATGCGAGCCCTTCGGGGTATGCCATGCTATTATTTGGGCTAATTGCACCGCCAGGTAGTATTGATACAGGTGTGGGAGTCCCAGCCCGCCCTTCACTTTCGGTCGGTACAATACTTGTCTAGCGATCCTATCTATGTCTTTTCTGCGCCCAAATGAAATTATCTATGTGTTTCTGAATTGTCTGTAGGTCTTGTTTAGTGACTTTGATGGGTAGGGCCTGGAACAGGAATAGTAGTCGTGGGAGTAGTGTCATTTTTATTGCATGCTGTCTGCCAATGCACGATATGGGTTTTTCATGCCATTTTTCCAAGTCGCGACAAAGCGCCTGGATTGTGGGCGAGTAATTGGCACTGTATAGTTTCGCCGGGTCCGCAGTGAGTTTAACGCCGAGGTATTTAATTTCCGATCTCGTAAGTTTGAGGGGGTAGGTGTTTTTAATGTCATTAATACCATCCGTGTTCATTTCTATTGGCATGGCCACCGATTTTTCTAGGTTTATCTGATAGCCTGAGATGCGTCCGTATTCCTCTAGGAGGGTCATCAGTCGGGGCAGGGATTCTCTCGGGTTGGTGAGCGTGACCAGGACATCATCCGCGTATGCGGAGACTTTGAATTCGTCACCCCCTGCTTTGACCCCAGATATGCACCTGTCCAGCGAGAGGACAAACAGCAGAGGGGAGAGGGAGCAGCCTTGTCTAGTGCCGTTAGCGGGCATAAATGGGGTCGGGGCTGCTCCCTGTACGTTGGTCTGGGCCCTCGGGTTAGTATATAGGGCTTTTATGCCTTTAACGAAGTTTTCTGGCATGTGCAGGCGTTCTAGGAGCGCAAAGAGGTAGCACCATTGCACCCTGTCGAAACGCCTTCTCCGCGTCCAGAGATAGGATCAGAGAAGGCGTCCGGGTCCGCGTCGCCCACCATATGCCATCCGCACCCCTCATTGTGTTTTCATACAATTGCCGTGCCGGCACAAAGCCGACCTGGTCTGGGTGTACCATGGTGCCCAGGAGGGGGTTTAATATTGTTGCAAGTATTTTTGCAAAGATTTTTACGTCGTAGTTAATTAAGGAGATGGGTCTGTAATTTGCTGCTTCGGTTGAGTCCCGTCCTGGTTTGGGTATGAGTGCGATGTCAGCCGTGAGCATGTCCGGGTTAGGATGTCCACCGTCCATCCATTCGTTGTACATCTTCGTCAGTCTTGGAGTCAGCACTTCTCTAAATGTTTTATAGTAGGAGCAGTCGAAACCGTCCGGTCCCGGGGCTTTGTTACCCTTAAGGGCCGAGATCGCCTTGTCTGTCTCCTCGTCCCCAATGGGTGCCCCCAAGGTGAGCAGGGCCTCCGGATTCGGTCCTGTCATATTCGTCTTGGTTACGTATTCGGTTACGTCATGTGTGTATTCCCTATTTTTGCTGCTTAGTTCTGGGGAGTGGTTGTAAATGTGTGCTAGGAACTCCGTGAAGATCTGATTGATCTCCGTAGGATTGTTGGTTATCTGACCCTGTTTGTCTCGGATCGCCGATATAGTTTGGAAGTGGGGCTTGGGGTTTAATGCCCTAGCCAGTAGGGTGTCCATCTTGTTGGAGCGTTCGTAGTAGAGGCGTTTTTTACGAACTAGGTCTCGCCCGAGGTCCTCAACTGCTGTAGTCCTGATTTTATGACGGAGGTCTCTAAGGTCTTGAAGACCCTGTGTCGTGGGGTTGCGTTTATGGTTGGCTTCGGCCCTCCTCAGCGCCTTTTGGAGCTCGAAGAGGGTTTCGGCCCTTTGCTTTTTTCGACGGGTTGCAAGTTTAGTGAGGGTACCCCTCAGTACCGCTTTGTGAGCGTCCCATATCGTGGATTGCGTTAAGTCCGGGTTGTCGTTGTCATCAAAATAGGCCGTGATTTCGTCTAGTAGAAGTTTCTCAGTCTCTGGGTCTTTTATGAGTGTGCTGTTTAATCGCCATTTCCATGGGGGTTTGGGACCTGGGAGTCTGAGAGTGAGCTCTACGTCGGCATGGTCCGACCATGTAATAAGGTTGATGCGTGCAGATTGAACCCATGGGATCCCTGTTTGGTTGACTAAGAACATGTTATACGGGAGTATGTGGAGTGTGCTGCCGAGAAGAACGTGTAGTCCTTCACTCCCGGATTGCACAGCCTCCAGGAGTCTAGTAATTTCGTGTTCTGTATGAATTTGGTCAAGAGTTTGACCTGGCCCCTCGTGTTCTGCGTCTTGTGGCCGCCGGTCGGGGCGCTGCGGTCAACTGTATGGCAGGGTGTAGCATTTAGGTCGCCCCCTAATATTATGATTCCGTACGGTAGGGTATGGATTAATTTGTGAAGCTGTTCCCAGAACTCCAGGTCTGGCTGGTTAGGTGCGTATACATTAATCAGGTGGTATGTGGTGGCGTGTATCATCCCCGTGAGGATAATGTATCTGCCCATAGTATCCGTGCGCGTCGTCTGGGTGACAAAGGGGCATTTTTTGTGTAGAAGTATTTCTACTCCGTTTTTTTTTACCATTGCCCTGGAGGAGTATGTCCTGGTAAATAGATGGTCTGTTAGTTGGATCCGGGCTGAGCGCAGAAGGTGTGTTTCCTGTACAAATGCTATGTCGGTTTTTTGTCTTTTTAATTCCCTCATTAACAAACGTCTTTTGGTCGGAGTGTTTAGGCCATTTACATTTAGGGAGGTAATTTTTAGGTTCACCATATTGTGTGACTCTATGAGAGCCCTCCGTACCCCCTACATTTCAGGTCTGAGACCGTCCCGCCGTGCGCCCCTTTGAGGTTTTATTGGTACTGTGGCCCGTGCAGGCCTTTGGGTGGGGGGGTGGAAAGGGGAGGTTGGGAAGGGGTGGTGGGGGGCGGGGGAGGAGGTAGCAGGGGAAGCTACCTTAGTCTGGAGATTATTGGGGAAGAAAAAGTGTGCCGGTCTTATCTAGCTGTGCCGGGTGTCTCGGGGGGTGGCTGCAAAGTGTGTAGGCACGGAGGGGGCAGTCATTCGCCGAGCACCCTGGAATCAGTCCTTTAAGTACGGTTATCTCTCGCCCGAATTTCTGGTCTCTGCAAGGTCTGTGGGTCAGTTCGTCCGTGTGTGTCGCTTCTCATGCATATTTAAACAACACCATTATTTACAATAGACATCCAAGCATGGAATAAGGCATAAGAAAAACAAAAATACGATGCAATACAATACAATACCCTTTAGTCCCCTTTTCTTGTGTCTCTTTAATCTACCTTCACTTAGCTATCACCTCATTGTAAGTGTTATGGAGGGGTTGGGTTTTTGCCGTCGCCCTCTTGCTTGCTACCATTTAGGCCCGAGGTCCCTTGTAAACCCATCATCCCCAGGTGAGGGAGGGGGCATTTAATCTAGTGCCGCTGTTGTCTACCTATTCTTAACCAGTTTTCTATCTCTGTATATGATGGTGGCGGCGTTTTACCAGGGGTGTGTGATGAAGTCTAAGTCCCTGTGTGAGGTATTTGTGAGGTAGGGCGCGAGTGCCCTAGTGCTCTGTTCCAGGGACCTTTGACTCTATTGCTTAGCTAACCTACTCCTTTATCCCCCATTAGTGTGAGCTGTAGTATGCAGCATAGGGTGTGAACTTGCGTGTCTGGCCAGATACATGGTGGGTGCCTCCGTCCGTTGCATGTCCAGTAGGTTTGTATAGAGGGACACAGGGTTAGTTGGTCCGACTGGCCGGTTGCTTGTTGCGCTTGTGACAGTCGGCAAAGTCCGATTAAGTCTATAGACTTGGCATCTGTTAGGCTTCTTCTTCAGCGTCAGTTTGCCTCCGGTTCGTCGTACTCTCCCTTTCGTCCGTCGCTGTTGTTACAGTGGCATTTCTCTGGGGTGTCTTGTCCCTCTTTGGAGGTGTCGAGGTGTCGGTGCGCCATTATCGCCCGACGCGTTTATCTGCTGTGTGTGTCCTTGTGAGATATTATTTTTAAACAGCTCCTTCTTCGGAGTTCTTCGCTTTATGTTGGTTAGCATTTTCATTCCTGTTTGTATCCGTGTTTTGATTTTCCTCATCCTTTTTATTTTTAGTTCGGAATTTTTCCGAGTTTTCGTGTACTAGGTTTTCTTACGATTTTGGAGAGAGGAATAAGGTAGTGCTATATTGCGTTGTCATTATCTGTATGGCTTTTTCTGTATTATTTGACTTTTATTTGTGTGGTTTTTCTTTTTTTTTTTTTTTTCTTTTTTTTATATTTGTTTCCCCCTCTTTTGTTTTTTACTTTCATTTATTTTTTTTTATTTTTTGGGGGAGGGGGGGGTTTGTTGTTTTAATTTCTTTTGTGTTGTTGTTTCCCTTTTTTTCCCCCCCCTTCCCTCCGGCGTTTATTTTGGTTTATCTGGAATTGGTGACTTCAGGGTTTTAGTTTCCTATACCTTTAGGGCTCTTGGTTTTGTAGGTTGGGATGTCTTCTGTAGTCCGTCTGTCGCTTTGCGTTGTTGGCTGGTTCTTAAGGATTGTGCGTGCTGGGGATTGTAATGTTCCGTCATTTGTGGAGAGGTTGTTGTGCTTTGGGACGAGGGTCTGCTTACATTCGCTGAGGCGCGTTGCCGTCCATCGCTGCACCATCTCTGGGTATTAGGCCTAATGCTTGGGTGCCCCTTTGGGGGAGGTTGAAGTCCGCCGGGACCTCAATACCTATCTCTCGAAGGAAGGCCCTGGGGTCCGCCGTGGTTAGTAGCACCGCCGGTCTTGGCCCATTGAATACCAGCATTTTAAAGGGGTGACCCCATGCGAAATTAAGGCCTTTTGCTCTGACTAGGTCCGCAATGGGCTTCCATTCTCTGCGTCTGGCGAGCGTGGCTGGCGCTATGTCCTGGAATAGGTGTAATGTAGCGCCCTCAACTGAATATGTGTGGTGTCTGGCACTTTTGAGTATAGCTTCCCTGGTGGAGAAGAAGTGCCACCGCATGATCACATCTCTCGGTGGGCCGTTGGGGGGTCCTCGCGCTCTCAACGCCCTATGTGCCCTGTCAATAGCCCACAGGTGCTCCGGTATAGCTGGCAGTTGTTCTTTAAATAGAGCGGTTAGCACCCTCTGAATATCTGTATCTTTAATCCTTTCTGGCAAGCCTTTAATTCTCAGGTTGTTTCTGCTTGACCTATTGGATGCATCCTCTATTTCTGCCTCTAGCTCAGCGACTTTTGCCATTAGGGTGTTGGTGGCTGAGGCTGCTTCATTATGGGCCGTCACCACGTGGTCCATTCTCCACTCTAGTGCCTCTGTGCGCTGCCCCACTGTTTGAATTTCTGCCTTTACCTCGCGGGCTGATCTTTCTATCTCTCCTGCAAGATAGTGCTTCACCTCTGCTAGTGAGTGCAGGATGTCAGTGGTGGTAGCCAGTTGTGGCAGGGCGGACCAGTCACTGGTGTTCGGAGGGCTCGGGGAGTCTGCGCTCGCGCGGCTGCCGCCATCTTTAGGCGCTTGCGGCCTAGGTGTAGTGAGGAGGTCGGCTACTGATGGGGTGCTTTCCCGCTGCTTCTTACCGGGTTTCTTCTGTTGTGCCATCTCCGGATCTTTCCCTCTCGTATACCGGGTAAGTTGCAGAGACTTTGATCGGGTTTTTGCGTCTGTCGTGGCTGTGCGGACTTCTCCGGGTGCAGAACTCTCTGCCTAAGCGGCCATCTCTTTCGGCGGTCAAGCCACGCCCCCAAAAGTGGACCTTTTGTAGGATAAGGAGCAGCATATATGTATAGAAATAGGCACTTTTAAGCCTCCAGACAATTGCTACCTTTGATTGCTGTCTTACTTACCTAAGCTGTGTCTAAAGTTACTTATCTTCTCCCTCCTTCTATCTTTCCAGATCTTCATATATCATCTCGCTTGGTATACTTATCTTATTATTATTACCCTACTTTTCTACTCCAATAACCCCCTGTACTACCATTACAGCCAATTGACTATTTAGGTGATCTCTCCCTATTATAATACTGTTTGTTTGTTTTTTTCAATTAAACTCGCCTCTCCTTTTTCGACGATTGTTCCAGATTATTTGGACATTCTAATTATGAAATGATTCTGAAGGGATGTTTATTATACTTATAGGGAATATACAGAGACACCTGTTGGCTTGATTTTTAGGATCACTATATCTAATTAGCATATAGATACAACTGTCAGTTTTATGTTTATTTTTGGCAATGGATAAATAAAGCCCGTTATATCATTGAATAGACGGTTAAATGGTTATCTTTTGCTATATTGCCGCATCTTCTCACACATTGTTTACTGTTGAAGACATTTCATTCAATCAATTACTTAGTTTTATGAAATACCAAATCAGGGATTCTCACATGAGGTTTCCCTGATTTATATTTTCTGTTCTCTACGTCGACAATTCCCCTAGTGAGCTTGCTTTATATATATATATATGTCACTGCCTCCGATTGCCATAGGGAACGAGCAACAAGCTCAAAGCTCTGCAGCACAGCTGGATCTCCACTGTTCTCCACACTGTACTCTGAATTAATTCCTAAAACTGGCCTCTCCATTCACTTGCTGAACACAAATATTCATGCCTTTTTCAACACATATTTGGCTGCATTAAGAGAAGAGCTTACCACTAGGCATGTTCATGGGGAAAATATTCGTCTCGGTTCGGCATTTCGAAATTTGGGACTTTGTCTATTCGGGAGTTCGGCAATTCGGAACTTCAGCAACTTCGGCACTTGAACACTTCGGCACTTCGGCAACTTTGGCACTTTGGATCTTAGACACTTCGGAACTTCGGCAACTTCAGAACTCCAGCATTTCGGGACTTTTCTTGCAGCCGCTTGGTAGAGAACTCCCTAATTCCCACGGTATTAGGGAGTTATCTACCAAAAGGCTGAAAGACCTAAATTGGTCTTTCAGCCAAATTTACTAATACTAAGTAAAAATGACTTCGTATTAGTAAATTGTGCCCCTACTCACTATACTGGGAGTAGGGGCATGTCTATTAAACCTGTGGCTGCTCACTGTTAAAAAGGGTCCCACCTTCCTGAGCGGCGGGTGGGGGCCCTAAAGTAAAAAAAGGGGGAAGAACCTATTGTCCTCCCCACCGGCTCCCACCCCTGAGCGGCGGGTGAGGGCCCTAAATAAAAATTGTGGGGGGGACCTAATGTCCTCCCCACTGAGTGGTGGGTGGGGGCCCTAAACAAGAAAAAGGGTGGACCTAATGTCCTCCCCCCTGGCCCCCACCCCTGAGCGGTGGGTGGGGGCCCTAAACAAGAATAAGGGGGGGGACCTATTGTCCTCCCCCCTGGCCCCCACCACTGAGCGGTGGGTGGGGGCCCTAAACAAGAATAAGGGGGGACCTAATGTCCTACCCCTACCCCTGGCCCTAAACAAGAATAAGGGGGGGGACCTATTGTCCTCCCCCCTGGCCCCCACCACTGAGCGGTGGGTGGGGGCCCTAAATACAAATTTGGGAGGGGTCCTAATGTCCTCCCCCTGGCCCCCACCCCTGAGCGGTGGGTGGGGGCCCTAAACAAGAATAAGGAGGGTGACCTAATGTCCTCCCCTCTGTCCCCCACCCTGAACGGCGGGTGGGGTCCATATATACAAATTGGGGGGAACCTATTGTCCTCTCCCCAGGCCCCCATCCCTGAGCGGTGGGTGGGGGCCCTAAACAAGAATAAGGGGGGACCTAATGTCCTACCCCTGGCCCCCACCCCTGAGCAGTGAGTGGGGGCCCTAAACAAGAATAAGGGGGGACCTATTGTCCTCCCCCCTGTCCCCCACCCCTGAGCGGCGGGTGGGGGCCCTAAATACAAATTGGGGGGGAACCTATTGTCCTCCCCCCTGGCCCCCACCCCTGAGCGGTTGGTGGGGGCCCTAATCAAGAAGCCTTCCCCCGCCCTGCAATTAGGCTCAGAGCACTGATTGGTGGGTTTAAGCCATCCAATCAGAGTGCTCTGACAGGTAAATGAAGAGACTGACAGGTAAGTCTCTACATTTACCTGTCACAGCACTCTGATTGGTTGGTTTGAAATCCACCAATCAGAGTGCTCTGTGTCATTTTACACAGCGTGGGAAAGCTCTTTGGAATTTTCCCACGCTGTGTAATTTGACTCATTACAACACTCTGATTGGTGGATTAAGTAACCAATCAGAGAGTTATGAGTCAAATTACACAGCGCCAATCAGAGTGCTCTGAGCCTAATGTACAGCAGCTCTGCCCCTGCATGGAAGATCACCTCCCCGTACGCAAGCTCTGCCGCCAATCTCTGACAGACATACACACATTCTGACAGACATACTGTGACAGGCACACACTCTCTGACTGAGACACACACACATACTGAGACATACTGAGACACATACACACGCTGACATATACATGCCACAGGCTGCTCACTGTTTAATAGACATGCCCCTACTCGCGGTATAGCGAGTAGGGGCATAATTTACTAATACTAAGTAATCTTTACTTAGTATTAGTAAATTTGACTGAAAGACCAATTTAGGTCTTTCAGCCTTTTAGTAGATAGCTCCCTAATACCGTGGGAATTAGGGAGTTATCTACGTATTCATTCCTGTCATTACATGTTACATCAAATTAAAGCCCTTTCTGTCCTTTAAAAAACGATATATAGTAGAATGTCAGCCTAACGAGCGAGCTCCCGCTCACCCACACACAATTCCGCACCGGCAACCAGCACCGCAGCCAGCACCTACCTTCCCTATGCCCCACCCGAGCACCGGAGCCACTCCACGCCGGAAGAAACGCGGGGAAGCGCTGGATTTCCCCCCCTCAGTGGCCGACATGTTCGCGGCCTCGTGACCAACACAGGCCGCACAGGCCTCACAAGATGGCCGCCGGACGGGCGCGCGAGGCTCCCAATCCCCAACGGACCGGGAGCAACAGGAGCCAGACGGAGGCAGCACAGAACAAATCCTGCAAAGGCTTGCAGAGGTCAAAACATACCTGGCAAGTGAAATCACCCGCAGCACACATGATATCAAAGCTAAGATCCAGGCCCTGGGCGCCCACACCTCAGAACTGGAGCAGAGGATGGAGGTACTGGTTCAGGGCCACAATGCTGTGATACAGCACTCCACCTCCCTAGACCACCACATTATAGACCTGGAAATGCAGGTTGAAGACTTGTCCAACCGCACCAGGCGGAACAATCTGCGCATCAGGGGGTGGCCCGAAACGCCCTCTGGCAGCGCTAGTGGAAGCATATTTTAGCGGCCTACTCCCAGACATCCCCAAAGCCCAGTGGGCCATGGACCGGGCGCACAGGGCCCTGCGCGCCCGGCGGGGGGACAATGACACCCCGAGAGATATAATAGTTTGCTTCCACCACTATACCACTAAGGAAGCTATTCTGCGGTACAACAGAAACCACGACTTAACATACAAAGGCAAGCCCATCTCTCTCTATCAAGATCTTGCACCAAGCACGCTTCAAAGACGACGGGAATGGAGACCGCTGACGGATCTTCTGCGACAACAAGAAATCCGATTCACATGGGGACACCCGTTTAAAATAGTAGCTTTCAAAGCGGGAAGAACACTCACATACTCACCAGGAGGGGACCCACGAAAATTTCTACGTGACCTGGACATCACACCCCCGAG